CTTGTATACAGCCCCCTGGAGGGAGGAGAGCAAGCAGGTGAGGATGGGAGTGCAAAACTCAGGCAGTTGCACATCAGATGTTGTCAGAGGCTTTTGAGGAGTAACATCTCACATCTCAGGCTTTCTGCAGTGAGGGATGAGATCCCCAAAACAGAATATTCTCAAGCTATGCGGCTCCAGCCCCATGGGTTGTCCCAACACCCATGGGGTGAATAAGCACAGTGGAAAAGCCTGAGCAACTGCTGCCAAACGACTGGGAAGATGCAGCCCACGGTGTCTGTTGTGTCTGAGATCTCTATAAAGTCTCTCGCATCTTTCCTCAAGTTTAGTTTTCCAGTGGAGGCTGTTGCAGTAATGAGAATGTCTCCCATCTGCTCCTCACATGGCTTGGCACATTTAGCCAGAATATATATATTTTTATTGTGGGGTTAGCCGGTGGTAACCATGACAATTAGACTTATCACGCAGCATTTTTTTTCCCTCCTTGAGTCAGTTTGAAATGCTGACAATTAAATAGATACAGTACACTTTAGAGATCCATCAGTCTCTTTGTTGTCTTGACAACCAGAGTATATTTAGAAATGTAACAAGTACATGGAGTTCAATTGCACTTTTGCTAAAACATAGTTTTGTAGCTTGAGAATTTAATCTGTTGTTTGTAGATCCAGGTGCTTATTTGAGCTGTGCCTGACTTTCTCTCGTGTCTCTCTGGGAAGCTCCTACATCGGCTGGTGAAAAGAAAGTCGTCATCAGGCAGGGAGCAAACCTGCCCACTGTGTGTGGTAGGGGCTTGGGTGTGGGGCTGGCAGCCCCTTCTTACTTGGGTACTGGATGTGCTGTGTCCCTGGATGTTCCTCGTGCTTGTGGTTTGACTTGATTTGCAGTGCAAAAGGAACGTGTGTGATTGTTGTCCCAGATCTGCTGTCCCTGGAGATCCAGTGCAGCAAATGATGCTGGGGAACCGTGAGCAGCATGTCTGAGCATCCTCTCTCAGAGGAGCTGCTCTCACAGTTCAGTAGCACTTTGGGACAGGAGGACAGTACCATGGAGCGTGATGCTGGCAAACTGTGATGGCTTTCCTCCTGCACCTGAGCTGCCTCAGCTTTGGTTGCAACTGGGAGCATCTCGCAACCACTGAAGCAATAGGAGACTGTTTCTCTTGCTCACTTCTGTTTTATTTTTGATTTGAATGGGGTGTGTCTTTTTGATTTTACCAAAAACTACTACTAAATTTTTTTTTTATCCCTTCATATTTGATTGCAAAATTGAGCTCATGCTCTCCCCACTGAACTGGAGCAGCAGCATGTGGGCTAGCTATCTGGAGCTATGGATTTTTAAGGCTGCATTCAAGGCTGGAGGAGCAGGAGGGAATTACGATGGACTGCACTCTGGGGGGCTCTAAATATCCCTGTCTCCCACCAGCCCTGTGCACACAGTGAGGGTGGGTGGGTGGGTGTTGAGTGGCTGTATTCCTTTCTGCCCTTTCCCTTGCTGAGCCAGTAGAGAGCTGTGGTTGGTGCAGGCACCTGTGTGAGTGTGACAGCCATACTTGTAAGTGTGGTGACATGCTAGCCCAGAATAGCAGCTTGGACGTGTGGCTCTTATATGCTGCCATCCTACAGCACAGTGCCTGTGAGATACAGGCTGGCACCACAGTGCCCTTGCTACATCCTTAGCACAGGACCTGGCAGTGCCTCTGCCTTGCCTTACTTGTGCTGGCTTACAAATCTGTGTCTGAAGAGAGAGGCACCCAAACGTGTGTATCAAAGTATTTCCCTGGCTTGAGTGATGAATGAATGAAATGAAATACCTCAAACGTTCCCCACCACCCCTCCATCTGCCTGACCCAGGTAGTGATGCTGGTCAGAGGTGCCCCTTCGGAAGGCTTGCAGGTCGAGGAGCTGCTCAAAGGGACTTCTTTGTGCTGGTGGCTCTTCGTAATCAGCACCTGAATCCCATGGCAGGGCCTGGGATGCTTGTGGATTTTCTGCAAAATGTTAAGCGAGACTCTTCCACCTCTCCCTGCTTCAGGCTTGGTTTATAATTCACGCTTGGCACTATAATTTGGCCAGAAAAAAGGAAAAAAAAACTAAACAAACCAGGATTCTCCTTTATCAGCAAAGCTGTGGCAATGCAACAATCTGAACAGGAGCCTGGTTGCAGCTGATAGAGTGGCCTTTTGCCCAAGGGAACCAGTTCATTTGGTGAGATGGTTTAAAGAACACAACAGTAGGTCCATGGCACAGATGTAGTGATGTTTGGCAGCATTCAGTCCTGGGCAGAGGTCTGTAAAACTAGTCAGTAGCACTGCTCTGCTCCTGGAGAGCACAGTCAGTACAGGCTTGTCTCTGGGTGGTTTATTACAAGGAGATGAGGAAGGCTGAGGGAAAGGAGTCAATCCTGAGATCAGCTATTACAGCAAGTGACAGCTAGTGAAATGCAGCTGTATTTCCTTGGGTGTATGACATCTTGTCTGTGCATCGTACCCAAAATATAATTTAATAAGGCTCAAAAGGAGGACAGAATTACATGATTTCGCTTCCTTATTCCCCGTGTTTCTCTTTCATTCATTATCTGTCAAGTAATGTTTGATTTCTCAGTGTGTGTGCAGAGCTCGGTTTCATTTTTCTGTTTTCTTTCCTCCCTCCATTTTACCAATTTCCCAAAGAAAATCCCAAACTATAGTTATATCTCCACTCAAGGTTTGTTTGTAGAATGTTATTATGTATTTTTCCAGTGTTTAATAGCTGCTGGGGTTTATTCTTAAAATATAACCACCAAAACCCAACGATCCTAATGAGTCTTCAAGAATGTTTTAAAGAAGTTATCCAAATCCATCTGACAAAGATAATGGTCTTCCATTAGAAGATACTTAGCTGGAGGTTGCATGAGCTGTAATGTTTATGGGTCTGTAGATCTGTAACCAGACAAAATCAGAATAACTCCTTGGATTTCAGTGGAGCTATGTCTGTTTATTACAGCTGAGGCTTAGGCAGTGCTTTAGACGCAATTGCAACCTCTGTGAAGTTAAGTGGGGTTTTGATTTAATTCCTGGAAGCAGTAATGTCAGTAAAGAAGTGAAGGGCTGGGACCCACATACCCTGAAGTCTGTAACTTTGGGTTGTTCTCCTTCCTTTATTGTCAAGATCAGATTCCCTTGGTTGGGGCTACTAATTAAAATGCAGCTTCTCTTAAGCATCTCCCAAAGGCAAGCAAGCTAAAGTGGAAGTGCAGCCTATGCAGATTCTCTCTCTCTCTCTCTCTCTCTCTCTCTCTCTCTCTCTCCATATTTTGCAGAAAATGCTAGTGGTTAGGTTGTTCTCTCTGACTGCTTGTGGTTGGGCTGTTGACCTGGAGTTTGTGTTTTCCAGCTCCAAAAAATGCAAAGGCTCTATGCTGAGTTATCTGGCTGTGATGCAGAGAGAGCTGGGTTCTCCTTTCCCCCTGCTTATTCATGTCCTTGCAGCCATCAGGAGACATGGGCCACCGCTCATCACCCCCGCTGTGTGTGGCATAAGTGATTCACCATGCGTTCATTTCTGGTCACATAAGGGCCATTAGTTTAAAGCAGGCTTGAGGCATAGGTTAGCGTTAGCTATTTGAAGTCTGAAGTCTGAAAGCAACATCAAACAGGGAGCAGAAAATGTATCATGCACAGAAAAATCTCTGGGATTTGTTTCTCCCTTTAAAAAATAATAATAATAAATTCCAAACTGTTTGCATATGCTGTCTCCTCTGTGGTCAGGACACCTGTCTGCCTCTTTGCTGATACTTGATACGGGCTTACAGTGCTCGCAAAAATGTTAACGCAAATTTTTTGTCATGGCAAATGTGAAAAGAATATCCAGTGTCTGTGTGGGCAGGTCCTCAGCAAATTTTTCTGTGCTTCTTATCCTTTGGTGTGGGTCTGAAGCAACTGCTGCTGTTCTGCTCCTCTTCCATCACTGCGGACCAGGAGTGCAAAGCTGCTGCCCTGCCAGACCCAGTTCTCCTGAGCAGAGACAGCTGATGGTGGGTCTAATGAGGTTTAGCCTGGTTTCCTTAAAAAAATCATGTTTATGAGTGGCTAGATATGTCTTTCCTTCCTCTCTTTAATGACTTAATCCTTGGCTAATCTCAGGAAAATAGAGGTGAGGATGCAGTTAGGAGGAGCTGGAGGTAACCTGGTATAACCAGGAGCATGGTGGGCTGGCAGAGCTGGGGCAGGCAGAGGTGGACCTTTCATTAATCATCACTAGTATTTTTTGAACTTGCTCATTTCTTCTCCAAGACTGAGATGAAAGGAAATAGAAAACACCACATAGGCTCAAATAGCAATAAGCTGGAAGTGTGAAAGACTGCTGGTTGAAAGCAGCTTGTGGTAACTTAGAAAACCTGTGGTTTTTTTTTAATTGGGTGTCTTTGGAGGCACCCAAAAAGGAAAGAGCTGGAGGTGGGGGTAGGGTTTGGGCTGTCCCCCCCTGACTCTTTTTCCACAATGGCTGTGTGTTTAGTGCATCCCATCTTTGCTTTGGTGCTTCTTGATGATTGCATGGCAAAGCCAGTGCTGTGGGAATGACTCACCGTTGGCCTGAGCGGCAGTGGAGGCTTGGGAAGAAGAGACCTTTTAAGCATGAGAGGCAGAAGGAAGTCTGGTCAGGCTTTGAAAGGGACTTTGTTACCTGCAGCCCTTACGTCAGTGCCTTTCACCAGCTCTACAGTGATTTAAAACAAGTAGCTTCTCTTCCAAGTAAACCTCAGCTACTTCAGCTCTTGCTCAGATGTAATCTGTGCTGCCAAGGTGTGAAAAACCCTATATGGGTCAAAACAAGGACAGACTGACACGAGTTGTTTCAGAGAGGGGAAAAAAAAGCTATGGTCTGCCCTGTACAGGAGGGCCGCTGGCCTTACATGCCCTTTTGGGGTTGTTTTCTTGGTGAAGTGTTACAGCCAGCTTGATTTACTTTCTGCTTTTACGATGAGCAAAATGTTGATTCTGACCTTTCTGTTTGCACCTGCAGGGGTCCCTTGGAAGAGCCTGTCCGTACGTCTGTCGGGCTGCCTGAAGGGGCTGCCTTGCTTCCAGGTGAGGAATGGATCAACTCGAAGGGCTTTTGCCAACTGCTGAGTTTAGAGAGAGCGGGAAGACCTCGGTACCATGTTTGGTTGTTCAGCAGCTGATGGGCATTTCTCCAAAGCTTGGGGTGGTGGGAGGCCAGCCTGCCCAGAAGGCTTGAGGTGATTTTACTCTTTCTGAGTCCAGGTCTAGAAGCAGCAAATGTTCAGGCCCCTCTGGGAATGGGGGTGTTTTATGGGAACAATTGCTTGGTCCCGTGGGCCATATTGCTTTGACTCTTTTTTGAACAAAGCTTTCTTTCTTGTGGACCTGAACTCATTCCCCATCCATAGCTCTCTGCAGGCTGGAGACACTCCCAGCTGGTGATGGAGAGCTGACTGTATTATTAGTTTTAATCAACCATGCTTCAATGGATGAGTAGAAATTCATATGAGGAGCAAATTAATTTCAGGAACAGTGTCAGGGCAATGGGTGTGTCCTCAAGCCTCTCTCAGTTGTGCCATCCCAGGAGACAAAAGGGTACTAGAGGTGCTGCAAAGTCATGGCTCCTGTGGGAAGAAAGCAGCGTGCAGCCCTTCTGAGAAGCAGATAATGAATGAACCGCTACCCTGGTGGTTTTGACTAGTGGAGCTTCTTTATTTGCCATGATGTTACCTGACTTGAGGACTGTGAGATGTCTGTGTGATATGCCAAAATTAGGAGTAGTGCTTCTTCACCCTCTTGTGTCACTGAATGTAAAGACACTTTCGTTCTGCCCTTTTGCTATGCAATGCACATCCCTCCTTTCTTCCTTTACCCTCTTCTTGGGTTTAATTTTTGTGTGTTTTTTTTTTTTTTTGTTGTTGTGTAAATTATGGCTAGCTGGAGATGAGATTTCAGCATCCTATTTGCTGCAAACAGGGGTCATTAATAAATGTTGAAAGACAAAGACAGACCAGGAATTAATAAACAGAGGACAGGAGATTAATAGCAAGAGAGTAGAATTTGGTTCAAGGCCTGATCTTCCCAGTTGCTGGGTTATAGAAGATTAATGGCAGCTCTTCTGTTAATCTCACTCTTTCTGTGGCAGCTTTCCTGGCTAAGTCTAATAAACTGTCCCAGTGGGTTGCTGTAAATATGAAATCTAGGAAGAAGCCCATCCTTTTATACTGTTAACTAAATAAGGCAGTATTAGTTTTGCTTTCTGTTCAGAGCTTGAGCAACAACATCAATACATTTGTGAGTGGTGAAGTTAGATCTTCAGGTACTTACTACTCCTCTCAAGACAAAAACATATCATAAAATGTATCTTGCCAAGCAAGCTGTCTCCAACAAATTGGTTTTTTACTCTGTGTCTTGTGCAAGAGATTAATTTCTCTTCTCCTGACTGGGTTTTCAGCTTTCTTTCTGTGAAAAATTGGGCTCTTGACCTGTTGCATCTGGCTTCTCATTAGGCTCGGCGTGAGATTAGATCATTTTAAGAGAACACTAACTTTGCAAAGAACATTCCTGGTTAAATTTGCAGGGGAACTGTAGAACATGGGACTATGTCACAGAAAGTTTATTCTGATAGAAGGGTGCATGGAGTTCTGGGTGTCCTGTAGAGGTTGTCAGCCTCCCTCTCCTACCTTTAGGCTGAAACTGCTGAGTCAAGCACCTCTGTAGTCCTTTGACCTCTGCCCTTGGGTATTTTCCATAGTCTTCACAAAGATGAACCCAAGCTCTTAGTGCATAGGGTTATAGTGAAATCTAGGTATGTGTTCCTGTAACAGTGAGCGTGATGGAGCCAGGGCTAACATCAGAACTTCAGCAAATATCCATCAAAACTTCAGCAATAGCTGAATTTCTTTTCCAGGGAAGAAAGGGTGTACACTGCTTCAGTGGCCCTGTAACAAAGCTTTTCCCCTCTCATCTGCTCTTGCATGCAGTGCCCTTGGCTTTTCAGAAGTTAATTGATTTGTCTATATTATTATTCTCTATTTAATTTTATTTGTGTAAAGAAGAACACACGCTAATCTTTCTCCAGAGAAATGTTTCCCATTGCTCCTCTTTGAACCTTGGCCCTGGGTCTGCTGTTTCTTAATGAGTGTCTAACTAAACAGCTACAGTTCCCACATGCTCCAGCCTTGACACAGACATACTTGCACACCCACGTGCCTGCTCCCAGTTGAACTGAGCAGCCTGCCTGCTCCCTTGCCCTCTGGCTGCTTTAGGATTCACGTTAGCAAGGCGGCACCTCCCTGGGAAGCCCTACATGCGAGAGGGGGCTTTATACCTGCGGGTAGAGATAGATTTGGCATCAAATGAGCTGTCCTATGAATTGGAAGGGCTATAACCTCTTTACCACGCTGTGCCCCCACCCCCAGGCTTGTTTAATGTGCTTCTCCAGGAGCCTGGATTCCTGTGGGCTGCGCTGCCCGCGGCGCAGACCCAAACGAGTGCCGAGCGCCGAGCTGAACACCCAATGCTGAATTACTGTCTGGTATGCCACTGGCTGCCAGATCTTTGATAGCTTGTTTTTAATGAAGATTCCTCCTGTAATTCCTAGAATATCTTGCAGTGCAAAAAATGAACGGTGTGTGTATTTTGCTGTGGGCTGAATTTTTTCCTGCTCTTCACAGTTCCCTCCGTGAACAGAGAGGAAAGGGAGGGGGAAGCAGCTGACTGCTTTTTTTTTGGTTGTTGTTGTTTTTCTACTTGACTTCTGTGAAATATGTGGCGATCAATCGCTCACAACTAACAAAATGTTTTTGTTTCTCTTTGCAAAAGCATATGGGAACTGCAGGAAAAGCATATGGGCCTTTTTAGGAAAACATATTGGTGAATGGACAAATTATAGTGGTGCCAATATGTTTTGGATGTCTGGCTAGACCACTACTACTACCACACTTGCTGGCATGCAAACACATCCACAAGATTTCCAGCATGTGAGGGGTGTGTAGTTGCTCCTGGGGAAAGGCAGGCTGTGCTGGATCAAACTCCTGTTAGAACAGTGCTGTGATCCATCGTCGGTGTGCGTGACTGCCTCACCATGTCCCGGGCTAGGCTCATGTTTATGGCAGCATATCCATTCTCTCTGAGCCCAGAGCTCCACTTGCAGCTGGCTGCAAGCAATGATAATGGTAACCATTTTTCTTTCTGAAACCCTGGACTGTAGTCCTCTTGAAGCCTGAGCATCTTGCAAACAAGCTGGGCAGCCTTTGGTTTTCCTCTGCTGCTCTATCGAGGCCTTTATGTGTTGGCTTGGGCTATTATTTTTAATTTTTCTATCAAGGGGTTTACTTTTGAGGAAATGCAGAACATTTGCATTATTGCTTCTTTTCCCAGTCCTGATTGCCCTGATACTGGTGACCCATGGAAAGGCGTCCATGAACAATAGGGGGATTAAGTGCTCTTGGTTGGTGGGTTGGTTCTGGTGGCTCACAGCATCCCTACAGTGTGAGCTGCCCTGCTGTGGACCCCTGTACAGGGAGAAGTCCTTGACAGCTCCAACTGGGCAGTCCTTCCCGCTCACCCTGGCAGCGAGGGAGTGCTGCCTGCTCTGCCTCTGCCTGTGATGGGCATGGCTGTACTGGGCTGCAGGGGTTGGTAGCAGTTCTCTGCCCACACTGGGTTTCAGCAGGTCCCAGGGGACTGGCTGAGGTCTCCTTGCACAGATATGCACAGGGGTAGACACCTCCTGTCTGTAAGAACTTACAGTCTAAGTGGACAAAACTGAGCTGCTGAGAAGGATGTGAAGGTCTGTGAGTGCTGGGGAAGATGGGCAATAACTGAACTCAGGTGTGATTTCATGAGCAGGTTCAACTGGTCTGAGTTTGTACCATCGTTGGAAGAGGTGGTCCTGCTGTTCCTGTACCCTAACCCTCATTTCTGCTCATAGAGTCATTTTTATCCTTTGGAAGATAAAAGTGAGTGGTGAGACAGAGGAGGAAGCAAAACATGTGGCTAAAGACTGAGGGGATAAGCAAGATGCACATTTGGTCAGTCATTTCTACACAGTGTTGTTTATCTCAGTTATGAACCTGAATCAAATATTCTGAGTGGTAATTCAGCACCTTTTAGTGTTCTTCCTCTTATGCCAACTTCAGGATGATTTGCTAGTGAGTAATTTTACATTATTTAATGTAGCCACTTTCCATATAGCTCTTTTGTTCTGTGAGACAATTCCCTATTTTATTATGCAAACGGTACATTAAGATCCTTGTGGGCCTAAGTTCCCAGCAGTGCTTGAGATGATGGCAGAGAAAGAGGGTATTTCAGAAATCATGATTCTCTCCTCTAGAAGCTTTCTTGGAGTTCTGCTTTAACTGCTTTTGGTATTATACATGCTTAAAAAAAAAGAAAAAGTTAAAAAAATCCAGTACTTCCTAAATGTTATAGAGCTCAAAAATACACTATATGCCTTGTCACAATATTTAATACAGAGTGCTATTTACAGTAATGAATCAAAATGTCAGTTTTTAAAATATGAACTGTCAGAGTGTTCCTACTTTGCAGAAAACTTTGATATGACAGTTTGTTAATCATATGACTATTACATCAAATGTGTCTAAGAGTACTTTTGCTAAACGAAGTCTTTTTTTATTCTTTTCCCTGTTAATTCTGGTAGGGTTGTTTGATTGAATACACTTTGATTAGTGGTCAGAAGAATCCAGAACTGAATGCTTTTGTGTATTGACAAAGGGGATGTACCACTGCCTGTGTTCTTGCTGGTCGTGGTCACCTAGTCTTAGGTACAGCCTGGTTTGGATCACTTTCCCTTGTGTGGTCATCCCAGATCTGCTGTGTGCAGGGCTCAGGCTCAGAAACGAGCCCTGACAGAACAGTGCTGATGCCTTCAGGGGTAACTCTGCATTTGGGGCAACTGGGCTAGAACTGTCTATTCAGTAAATAAAAAGCTGGCTTGTACAGTAGCACTACTAATCCCTATAGCTTTAGCATGAAGGCACAAGTAAAATAAAGAAAAAATCAGTTTAAAAACAAAAACAAAAATAAAAATAAAGGCTGCCCACACCTCCTTGATGAGCTGA